ATAACGGGCACATGTTTCAAGCCCATCAAGGAGGCCGAGATCTATGCAGTGCTCCAGGGTTCAGATCCTGAGTACTCTGATGAGGACAGCATCTTTGAGAAGACTAACGACAGCGACGACGAAGACGATGACTTTAAGCGCAGCGACGATGAAGGCGAGTTTATGCACAGCGACAAAGACGAGAAGTATGAAGAGTATTTATCCAACCTCGAGAGTGAGATCGACAGTGAAGCATCTGACGACTCGGCTACCTCCAGCTCTACCTCCCCACATAAGAAGAGGCGACTTGCTACTGATATGGAGGACCTGCAATTTACATACACAGAGCCATTGCTACAGGGAGATATTGGGCTTCGCTGGAGTAATAAACCTGTTATGGAGACTGTCCCAAAACCTAATAGGGACATAGTAAATGGGATAAGAAGTGGCCCAGATGGACTTGCTACCATTGCTGACACTCCAGAACAGTGCCTGGAACTCTTCCTTGACCTGGATATGATCAATGAAATTGTGATCCACACGAACTCTGCAATCTCTGCTATATCAGAGAAAGTTAGCACCAAGAATGCCACTGTTGAGGAGACCAGCGTCGACGAGATAAAAGCATTGATAGGAATTCTAATCTTTTCCGGCTGCAGGCGTGATAATCACTTGTCGACAGCAGAAATGTGGAACACACAGGTAGGTTCTCCTCTGTATCAGGCTGCCATGAGTGAGAGACGCTTCAGCTTCCTGCTGGAGTGTCTTTGTTTTGATGAAGCAGCTACGAGGAGAGAGAGGTCAAAAACTGATAAACTGGCTCCCATCCGACAACTCTGGAATGAGTTTCTCACGAAGTGCCAGAAATCGTATGTTCCTGGCGAAACACTCACCGTGGGTGAACAGCTCCTCCCCTTTCATGGGCAATGTGGGTTCTGTGTAAACTTTGCCAACAAACCTGCCAAGTACGGAATCAAGCTTTCGGTGATATGCGACGCTAAATCCAAATACATGCTAAATGCAATTCCGTACTTGAGAAAAGACGACTACACACCGGCTTGTCAAGGGCTTGAGTTGCGCCACATTACCAAGGAACTCTGTAAGCCCTACTTCAATACCTGGAGGAATGTAACCACAGAAAGCTGTTTTACATCTATTCCGTTGTCAATGGATCTACTCAACAACTGTGGTTTGACTTCTGTTGGCGATTTGCGGTTGAATAGGCCACACATTCCACCAAATATGACCAGAAAAGATGGTCGGAAGGAGAACAGTAGTGTATTCTGTTTCGCCGAAGGCCTCACCATGGTGTCCTACATGCCATACCCCCAGAAATTGGTCGTTCACCTGTCGACCATGCACACCCAGCCCACCATTGACAAGAATAAGAGGCCTGAGATCATCAATTACTACAATAGAAAAAAATCTGCAGTGGACAAATTTGACCAAATGACCAAACAGTATTCCTGCAGCCGAAAGACAAACAGGTGGCACTTATGCATGTTTTATTTTATAATCAATGCTGCCACCATCAATGCTTGGGTCATCAGCAACAATAATAAGAAAACACAACAGGAGGTGGAGCAGGCTCGCGGCCAGTTCATGCAGGACCTCGCTCTGAGGCTGGTCACACCCTGGGCCCAGAAAAGGATCGACTCTGGAAACCTTGGACGGAGATTGCAGTGGACCAAAAAGGATATGGTGAAAATAAATGTCCCAAAGCAGTCCGTCCCGCCATCCCTACCCATAGCCAAGAGGTGTGGCTCGTGCACTGGGGAGGAAGAGAGGAAGTCCCAGAGTGTTTGTATAGCGTGTTACGAGCCTGTGTGTGACCTTCACTCATACATCACCTGCCTCAACTGCCAATAGTTGCAGCAGGTGGCGTGGTGTATCCAGTGTGCCTATGATGATGCCCTAACCTGTACTCTACAGAGAGGTCCTCCGTTACCCTCTGTGCTGCTGTGTTAGCAACATAAGCTGTCTTCATGTAAATATACCATTTTCTTTGTTTCATTTATTATCCTTTTTTACGAAGGAACTAAATAGTTTATCATTCTCATCATCAAGTTTGTTATAACTTATGAAAAGGTTCTACTTTACTGCTATGTACAGTCAATAAATGTATATAATTGTTGTAGGTGCTTTTTATTTTTCTTTAAATGGGGTTCAATAATTCCCATTAGTTATAAAGTTATTTTTGAGCAACAAGATCCTAAAGGTATCGTATTATAAAATTAATACCTGACCACTTTAATTGTTGTTATAATATACAGCAAGACTAACCATCAACAACTAGGGGCTTAATTTATCTGAGTATTATCATAATTATATACACTTCTTAATATAGTCATCATTAGTAATTCAGTAAATAAACTAACATACAATACGGATTTAGTATTATTATTTCTATACTACCTTTTCTCTGATAGCCTCCCTCTCTTTCTCCTATTTCTTTGCCTCCTCTTGCCCCCTCAGCCTATTTCCTGGCACATCCCATTTCCATCCCTCTACACCTCCTTCCCCCATTTCCCGCCTCCCCCTCCTCCTACCCCCCCCCCCACTTTATTTAATTTCCCCTTCCCGGTGATATGTTTTCTCTCCCATCGCTTCTCTTCCTTTCGTAGTGTTGACTCTCTTTTCCTCCTTACCTATCTCTCTCCCACCTTCCTCTTCTCAGTACTCTCTTCCTCTCTTATTTTTCTCCTTTTCTCTTCCTCTCCTCTCAGTTCTCTGCTTCTGCTTAGTTATCTCCTTCTCTCAGTTATTTCCTCTCCTCCTTCTCTTCCCTCTTCTCACCCCCTTCATTCTCTTAGATCCTTCACTTCCTTCCGTTCCCCCGGTCTTTCTTCTCTTCCTCCTATCATTTCTGTCTTGTCTCGTTTTCCGCCTCAACAGAGAAACAAAAAAAAAAGATTGCAATACAAAGAGAAAAAAAGAGATCAAGGCTAAGAAAAATGACTAAATAGGGAAATAGTAAAGAAAATAAGGATCCATATGTTAAAAAAATAGGGTTCGGAAAGGAGAGAGAGAGAGAGAGAGGGAGGCGTAGGAGTAGGGAGTCAGGTAAGAGGGAGGGGATTGGCTGGGGAGAGAGAGGGGAGGGGGGGAAAAGGAGTAGAGAAGTGAAAGGGGAGTGATGAGAAAATGGAAGAAGAAATAGGACAGTTATGAGAGTGACAGACAGACACAAACAGACATTGAAACTTGGCCCTACTGCTTAAGATTAGAGGGGGGGGTTAAGAGGATGGGGGTGAGGAGGGGAGATGGAGTAAGTGGGTGAGGATAAGGTAGGAGGGGTTGAAGGAGAAGAGATGAGGAGGAGAGAGAGAGAGAGAGGAGAGACTGATTTGTGAGGTGTGTGTGTGTGTGAGAAAGATGTACAAAGAGACAGTAAGGAGACAGAAAGGAAATGGTAAGTAAGAAAATAGCAAAATAAAGGTGAAAGACAACCAAGAGAAAGTAAAACCTGAAAATACATAAGAGAGACAGAGAGGGAGAGAGGAGGATTGGGTTACAGGTCAAATACCCACGACAAGAAAAACTGCCCTTTGCCACGTCGTAAGACCCCAGAAGTCAACACACCGCCAGGACCCGGACTGACTGCACACACACACACACACACACACACACACACACACACACACACACACACACACACACACTCACACACACACACTCACACTCGAGGTTTCATGAAAGGTTCCGTTACTCCCACATTCTGTTGCCTAATTCACTGTTTTCTATTTAACTCTACTTAATTTTAAAGAACCGTAATTGTTATTATTAATTAATTATGGATAACACTAATTCACGGTTATTGTTTTGGTTTGGTTTTTGCAGGTAATTCATTGTCCAGTTATAATAGATGTTACGTATTACTGCGTTAATTATAACAACATTGATGTTAATTATAATAATAATAATAATAATATGAAGAACAACAATAATAATAATAATAATATGATGATGATGATGATGATGATGATGATGAAATAGAAGAACAATAATAATAATAATATTAATAATAATAAGATGATGATGAAGAAGAACAACAATAATAATAATCGCTATTATTATATAAAGGTTGATTCATCTTCGATACATTCTTCATCCAAGTCATCGTTATTCCCTAGTTTCCAACTCTTCTTTTTATTTGTCTTCCTCTTCGTCTCCTCAACCTTCTCCGTAATTGGTGGAAACGTGATGACGTCATCATCCAATTATGACGTCACGGGGAACTCGACACCGCTCGGTAGAAGCCACAGTGTTATGACCCTTAACACGGCTCGACTCAGCGACTCTTTTGCCCTATTCCATTCCTTCAATTATTCCATAATCTTCTATTACCATAATTTGCTCCCACCATTTACTGGCCTCTTTTTCGTCCTTGTTCTTTTGAGTCTGGTGTTAAGGCAGCGCCCCAAGAACTATATTCATTAAAAGTAGTTAAACTTTTTATTCCCACACACTTAACTTTACTGTATCTTTTTTGGCATCTTTTTTGTATTTATTTTCCTACCTCTGAATCCTCTTTCATCTCGCAGACAAACTTCAGCAAAGTTAAAAGTCCATTGAGGTCATCTTGTCTGTCTATTTGTGGTAGAAACCCTTGTCCGCGTTATATAGGGAGTCACAACTTACACACTGTGACAAAACATCACTGCTCTAATGCTCTTGTGTCGAGGTCAAACCCTATTGATTTTGAGGTCACTAACTCGAAGATCAAAAGGTCAACTTGGGTTAAATGACAGGACGATAGGGTTAAATCAAAGGGCGATAAAGTAAAATTATCAACTTGGGTTAAATCACAGGGCGATAGGGTTACCAGTTATTGATTTTTATTGTCATTTAATGATTCTCTTTTTGTTTTGGTTCTAATTTATCGAATATTCTCAACACCTATACACTATACTACTACCAACACCCCAACACCATCACCACCTTTACTACTACTACTACCAACACCCTACTACTACTATCCCCCCCCCCGCATCTGTCAATAGCAACTCTCTCCTGTACATGACCTACTGCACATATCTCTTGTGTAGTTTAAGCTAAAGTTGTTTACATGATGTTTTGTTTTGTTTATTGCCAATTGAGCTTATCTAACCTAACCTAACCTAACTTGACATAAGCCTAACCTAACCCAAAAGTTGACCTAATCTAAACTAAATTTCAAGATGTTTCTATTTCTAGATCACCTGGTTAATGTCATCTAATTAGGTTAAGCCAAGACCCCGTCACCTCTCACTATGACGCACACGAACACACATATACATAAATACATACATACAAACATAAGTGTTGGGTGAGACGGGAACAGTAATAAAAACCACAAGTAGTTGGAGATGTAAATAAATAACAGGAGTGTAAACGCCCTAAAAGTATAAACGCCACAGAAGTATAAACGCCTGAAACTCTCTGCTGGATTTAGATCGTAAATAATATCTGGCCGCCAAGGAAGATTAGATCACTATCCGAAATAGGAGCGAGTTGGATGCCAAGTAACGGCTGCTGGGTCTGTGTGTGTGTGTGTGTGTGTTTGTTTGTCAGGGCTAGGTAGATAAGGTCTGTAATGTAATATAGGCGTCATAAAGAGGAAGGAACATTATATACCCTGGGAATGTGATCTTCATTTGTTTTTCCATCAGTAAGGTCGTGGATCTGGAGACGCGCCAACTCAACACTACAGGAAATGGCGGGAAACAACTTAAAATTTTACGTTCGTAGATTATTACTATTTTTTTTTACTCTTGTCACGTGATGAATTAAAAAGAAAATTATATAAGGGAAATAGTTGACTGATTAAACTTTGGACTGTGATGAAATAGAAATGCGGGGGAGGGGAGGGAAAACCTTGACAACATTTGGACGCTGTGGTGATCCTGTGTTCATGACCTCTTATTCTCTTATTATTATTATTATCCTCCTCCTCCTCCTCCTTCTTCTTCTCTTCCTCCTTCTTTTCCTTCTTCTTCTCTTCCATAAATAAGAGAAACATACAACTCATTAATATCGCCAGAAAAAAAACTGACCGAAAATGTAAACAATGTTGCCAATTTCCGCACATACGACTCTCATCTGATCATGGAGTCGACCGCGGCGGAATTCTTATCAAAGCACACACACACACACACACACACACACACACAGGTGGTATAAGACTATGGTGCCAGCAAGTGGTGTCAGAAGATGTGGCACCACTGTCAGAAGGAGACCACGACCACAACGTTGCACCTACGATTTGGCAACATTGTCTGATAAACGCCATGGACACAATGTTAATATAAAACCTGTGACTCGCCTACATAACCAATCCTAAAATAACCCTGTGTATTATTATTATTATATTATTATTATTATTATTATTATTATTATTATTATTATATTATTATTATTATTATTATTATTATTATATTATTATTATTATTATTATTATATTATTATTATTATTATTATTATTATTATTATTTACTGTTTACCATTGTTTATATTCCTGAACTGTCTTTGTACATAATGAACCTTAAAAACATAGAACTAATTAGAAAAGTGTGAATGTCTGTCTGTCTGTCTGTCTGTCAGTTTGATGAAAAATGATAAAGTTGAAGAATTTCGTGTTTGTCTGATACTTTACTGTGTATGTGTGTCGGGGGAAGAGGGGGTGGCAGGTGTGTGTGTGTGTTTTTACAGGTATGCAGCCAGGTTAGGTTAATTACACAGGTAAAATAAACAAAATTGGAGTGACTAACCTTACCTTCCTATACACCTGTACAGCATAACTAAATAAATGGTTTTAATCAACAACCATATTCTACATAAGTCATACCTTGAAGACAGCGGCCTTGGTAACACTGTCATCACACGGGTCTTGGCAATACTGTTCAGAGTTCTACACATCGACCAAAGGTACACATGAAGTACTGACACAGACACAGTTATGATTGGTTGACACAGACACAGTTATGATTGGTTGACAGAGACACAGTTATGATTGGTTGGTTCCTTTTGCGTCTCTCTTCACGTCATTCCCAAATTCTCCTGCGGTTCCTGTAACAAGAAACAAATGATTAAGGTAGGTTAGGTTAGGTTAGGTTAGATTAGGTTAGGTTAGGTTAGGTTAGAGAAGAATCTGTCCTCTACAGGTATTAACTTAAGCATATATAGGGAGCACCTGAAGATTAACCACTACAACATAACCTGACTTAACATCCTAACCTAACATTAACCAAACTTAACCTAACCTAACCTAACGCCACACCCCAAGTAAGCATTAAGGGCGGTTAAGTTTCAGATGACATAAGCTGGGAGGGGGAGGGGAGAGGGGGGAGGGGGGAGGGGGGAGGTGATAATCATCAGGTAATAAAAAAATATATATTCTTTTTTTTCTTTAAATACATCAACAATAAGACAAAAACAACACAAAGACAAAAAAAAATAAAAACTGAAAAAAACAAAACAAACAAATACAATAACAAAAACAAACTAATTAAAACAAATAAAAAAAAACATTATTAATTTTTCACTTATTAAAACTTTCGTGATCATAAACTTTTGATTTATATTTTGTACTTTCGTGTTCCTCTGTACACTCCATAAACTACCTCTACCTCGGGTGATCGATGAACTCCATAATGAACACTGTGACTCCTGTTGTCTCGGTAGGGTTGTCAAAATCCTTCGTCAGTTGTGTCATATTTTTTCAACACAATTTTGTATAGATAGTTATTTGGGTGTGTTTGTGGGAGTGATAGTGCCAGACAGGTTGTAGTGATGATGGTGAGTGGCACAGTGTCAATGGGGGTGATGTTTAGGACGGTGTTTATAATATTACCACAACAACAACAACAACAACAACAACAACAACAACAACATCAACATCAACAACACACATCTTCGTCACATCAGCTGATCTACCAACACGTGTCTTTATTTACAATATAAACACAAGCCAAACACGACCTTATAACCAAGATATCTTAAGCTCATATTCCTTTAAAAAAATTCCTACACAACTTCACTTTAGGGTCAACCGAATATGAACTTAAAATAATGATGTCTTAAGGTTGAAATTCCATTCTGAAGATTCTTAAACGAGAAATGAATAATCTCAAGGGTATTTAGTCTTTATATATAATAGAATTAGAAGCTATAATAGTATGGTTTGAGATAAGGATGATGAAGAAGCTCTATAATTTGGCAGGGTCGATATATAATTGGAAATAATTGAAGGAAATTGTATAATTGGGGAGTTATTATTAATAGTGATGGTGGTGATGGACACACACACACACACACACACACACACGCGCACACACATACACACACACACACGCGCACACACAACACACACACACACACACACACACGCACACAGGTCTAATTAATTACTGGAGTACCTCAAATATTCTAAGAACGAGGCCACGCCGAGTTACTTCCTTGAGAGAGAGAGAGAGAGAGAGAGAGAGAGAGAGAGAGAGAGAGAGAGCACCTGTACGTGGTATGGCCGTCAATAACACGTAACACCTCTCCATCTACCTGATGATTCACCTTACCTTAATTGTTCTAGCTGGTAATAGACAAATCTTACCACACAAACATGGGAGAATCCATGTTTGTGTCGTAACTTAAGTGGGTCAGGTATATACGTTCTCACATCACCAGTTAGAAGTCAAAATTAACGTAGGAACCTTTGAGAATCCATGTTTGTGTCGTAACTTAAGTGGGTCAGGTATATACGTTCTCACATCACCAGTTAGAAGTCAAAATTAACGTAGGAACCTTTGAGAATCCATCTTTATGTCGTAACTTAAGTGGGTCAGGTATATACGTTCCTCAACTTATCAGTTAGGAGAGAATTTTTATCTTACGTCCCTCTAAGAGAAACAGTTAAGAGAGAGTGCCATTGAGTGCCAGGTCAGCTAACAAGTGCGTAGTTCGTACCCTCTGACACTACGCTATACTAGGGTCAGGCGCCGGGAAGAGTGCCATGCTGTGCCAATGGTTGAGAATAGTGCCAGTTATTTATGTTACAAATTGAAGGATACTAATAACCAACCAAACCTAACCTAACCTAACCAAATCAAATCTAACCAAACCAAACCTAACCAAACCAAACCTAACCAACCAAACAAAAACCAAACCAAACCTAACCAAACCAAACCAAACCAAACCTAACCTAACAAAACCAAACCTAACCAAACCTAACCTAACCAAATCAAACCTAACCTAACCAAACCAAACCTAACCAAACCAAACCTAACCAAATCAAACCTAACCAAACCAAACCTAACCAAACCAAACCAAATCAAACCAAACCAAACCTAAAATACTCATATATACCTGCACTGTATATTTATATTGTTTGTATACCTGTAGAGATGGATAGATAGATAGATAGATAGATAGATAGATACTATTGAACACTGGATAAAAAGTATGGGAGAGAAGGGTGTGTGTGTGTGTGTGTGTGTGTGTGTGTGTGTGTGTGTGTGTGTGTGTGTGTGAGAGAGAGACAGACATATACAGATACAAATATAATAATAATAACAATAACAATAATAATAAGAACAACAACAACAACAATAATAACAACAACAACAATAACAAGAACAACAAATACAAACTCTCCTTCACCAGCCTTAACAAAAAAATATCAACGGCTTACAAAGTGCAGATAACGAAGACCTCATCATAAATAGTTAACTACCTTAATTAACTAGATCAGCCTAATTACCGAGAAAATGAGAGAAAAAATAATAAATATCTAATTATCTCTGTATATATTTAGTATCTCTGTTGTTGGATGTAATTACAATAATAACTAGAGCTTTATAATTATTTTATATTTATGTTGAGAGATAGATATATAGAGATAGATAGATAGACAGATAAAGACGGATAAACATAGAGAGAGATAAATAAAGAGAGAAAGAGAGAGAGAGAGAGAGAGAGAGAGAGAGAGAGAGAGAGAGAGAGAGAGAGAGAGAGAGAGAGAGAGAGAGAGAGAGAGAGAGAGATCCAGAATTCTCTACTAACAACCATTAATGATATTACTTCTGTCATAATCTAGTCACGAAACCATTCTGGTGTGTGTGTGTGTGTGTGTGTGTGTGTGTGTGTGTATAGGAGATCCTGAACACCTACGCAGACGCGTATTCACGTTTCGGCCTTGAGGTGAATGTACGTAAGACTCAGATTCTCTTTCAGCCTGCCCCTGGTTCAGACACCCCTCCACCATCCATCCAGCTTAACGGTACTGCCCTCTCTAATGTTGCACACTTTCGGTATCCGTGTCTTCAGCTGTAGGGAGCTGAAATTATCTACACCCTGATAATGTGGCAGCGAGACATGGGTCACATACAGGAGACACCTCAAGGCACTTGTAAACTTTCACCAACGTAGTCTATGTTCCATCCTCCGAGTTCGCTGGGAAGACAAGAGAACAAATGCCAGTATTCTTGCTGACACCAACTGTAGGAGCATCGAGGCCATGTTACCCGCATGATCGACAGTAGACTGCCAAAGCAGCTTCTTTACAGTCACCTCACGAATAGTAAACGTAACGCTGGCAGGCAATTGAAAAGGTATAAGGATAGTCTTAAGACCAACCTGAAAAAGTGCCAAATCGACCCCCTCACCTGGGAGACGATTACTCCACACCGTAACGCTTGGAGGAGCACCTCACGAGAAAGTGTCAATACTTTCGAGTTATCCCGACTGCATACCTAGGCAGACAAGCGCCAACGCCGGAAAGACGCTGTCGCCGCCCCTCCCGCACTAGATGTAGCCCTCCACATGTGCAACATCTGTGAACGACCCTGCCAGTCCCGTATCGGCCTCTCGAGTCACCCCAGAACTCACCAATGAAGGTGACATCCTTAATAACTCTTTCATTGTATCATAGCTGGATGATCGTCATACTTGATTTGGAGTGACAGCAAAGTAGTAGCAGTGTGTGTGTGTTTTAATGACGTCAGCCAACAATGTATTTAGAAACCGTAAAAAACCCTGACATCTTACTTTTATCACTCTAGATGTCGTCCCCCTAAACACTACCCTAATTTATATGATTTACATGACCAGGCGGTTGATGGGAGAATAGCAGTCAAGTTGTACATACGAATCACCTTATGGCAAATCTGCTATTTTTCCCATCAATATGACCCCACTATCTTCCAATTTTATCCCAATTTGACCCCACTGTACCCCCCAAAAAAACTACTCTTACATGACCCCAATTTGACCCCACTGTACCCCCCCAAAAAAACTACTCTTACATGACCCCAATTTGACCCCTGTACCCCCCAAAAACTACTCATGACCCCAATTTGACCCCACTATAACCCCCCAAAATCTACTTTACATGACCCCAATTTGACCTCACTGTGCCCCCCAAAAAACTACTCATGAAATTTCAAAACTACTCTTACATGACCCCAATTTGACCCCACTGTACCCCCAAAAAAAACTACTTACATGACCCCAATTTGACCCCACTATACCCCCGAAAAAAAACTAAAAAAACTACTCTTACATGACCCCAATTTACCCTGAATCACTAGCCATACCTTCCCTTCCCCTGAACTATGGCAGCAGCGTACAGGTCAGGGAGGAGCAGCACGAGTGTAGGACTTTGCATATGCATCACGTTATCACAGGTCAGCTCACTGGACAAGTTCCCTGCGTCGTGTATGCTGTGTCCCCTGCCTCTATTATTCACAAGGGGATGAATAATACATCACGGACAATGTTCCTCACTGGTAAATCCAACGACAGTGTAGATTATGCTTCGATTTTTTTATTATTATTTTTTTTTATACAGTAAATATATCAGATGGTCTGCGTTTTTGTATTGTCCTTGATTTTTTTGTTTGTTTGTCATTTGTACTTTTTTTTATACTGTATGTTTATATAATGGATTTTATTACTTTTACTTTTTATTCGCGTTTTTTATAATAACTTTGATAAGCAGTAACAGCAGCATTAGTAATAGAAGTAAACCCACAAAATCCTTTACATCATCACCCCCCACCACACTCCACAAGACACACACAGACTCATTTACAAAACGTAATGCTACGGAGTTCCCAGGAAGCCTTGTCTAGTCAACACCACTTTCGTCACCACCGCCCAGGGCTACATTATCTCACCAGGGGGCTTCCCAGGTTGGTCATATCCCCCTCTTCTAAAAAAAATCCCTAACCACACAAACAACGATAACGCGGTTGTGTTATCTTAAAAGGAAATGACATTGATGTAATTTTAAACAATGGTAATGTCGGCTGGGGTTAGGTGTGGGGAAGGGGGGTGGAGGGGAGGTCATAATGTTAACTTAACCTAAATTATTATTATTATTATTATTATTATTATTATTATTATTATTATTATTATTATTGCATTACTTCTCTCGTATCACCGTATAATATTTCACTTATTACTAGTACCAACAAATATTATTCAGCAGCATTTTCGAGTAAACTATTCTTATTTACTATATCAGTCCAAAATTTTTGAATAAACTCATTAAGTATGCATAAAAATAAAATTAGTTTAAAAGATTGTATAATGCGAGGTCAAGAGGATATAAATGTATTTTTATAAGTATATGGTTTACCCGAAAAAATAAAAGCATTGATGTGGGCATTCGCAGTTGAAGAAACGTCACGGATATACACCACTATTTTTTAAATAATACAGTAATTGGCTTATAATTACGTTCATATTCACTTGTATAAATAAAGAAATATATTTCTAGTTTTATTATTTGCTAAAGAATTATTAAAATCTTGCCGTAGCAATAAGTCGAATTTACCCAGTCTGATGTACTTATAGTATTAATCCCCAATTACCGTATAAAATAATGGTCATTCGGCAATTAAAGTCCTTATATAAATTGCACAATATATTATCCTAAATTACACATACAGAACTTAATAATAAACTAACCTTTCCTAGAGATATTTTCATGGAGACTTGTCATTTGGTCGTGTGGTAAATACGGCGTATAAGTTCACCTTCTGCTACATCAATCTCCTCCTTATTTTCTTGCTCAGTTTTACGATATCACGACTCCTTGAACTTTTCTATGATAGATACTACCACTTGATGTCCACCTACTGTCATGATTTACACGGTACGGGGATTAATTAAGTCACAACATTTGAAGGCAACACCAGCTGACAGACGGGGCACTAGTACTGGACCCTGCCTGTGGTCGGCGTCAGTCAGTGGTGGTGAGGGACAGTTATTCAGGTGGAAAGCAGCGTATTTAAGTGAACAACTAGATATTTCTTATAATCAGGTGACTATAACTCAAATCAGAAGAAATTACGTCATGAGATATTATTAATTAATTAGTAATAGTGTGGTGAGGAGAGCATTAGTGTGTGGCTAAGTGGTCTGCAGGAAAGTGGCGCCAAAAGAATATTCTAGTATATAATTACAGAGTCTCCGTAGAAAATACTTAATTAATGTGAATAATGTAGTGATATGTGAACAATATTTTTAGCAGTAAATAGAAAGTTAGAAATAGTAAAATGTGAATTGTTAACTTTTGATCCGGCCAATAAATTATACCCGGAAGTGAAAGAAGCCATTGTATACATCCATGCTTGATATAAATCTCCCAAAAGTTTCCAGCGGCTTTATGTTTACTGATGCTGAAACACACATTACTGAAAGGAGTCTTCTCAATATTAAAGGTTGGTGTGATTTAGTACTGTATTAGATAACGTAATTTTCAACAAGTTTCAAGTTTTAGCTCAGACGTTGAGTAATAGTTTAGTTTATACGAAAGCGAAGGTAATAATGCAGAATATGGAAGAATAACTTAAATATCTACCTGAATATTAAATTTGCTATATGCCAAGCTGATAGATTTTTGTAAATGGGTAAAATAACTAGTCATTAACTTCGCCTGTTAGTCACGTTAGTTTTTTTTTTTTTATTCAGTCTTTCATAAATTTGACGTTAGGTGGAATTTAATGCCTAACCAGTGTTTAATGATAAGTGCAAACGATGATAGACCTTAGTTATACAAGAACAGTCACATAACATCAATAGTTAGTTACGTTTGAGTGTTAATTCAGGGTTTTAGTTACGTGTACAGGCTAAAGCTGAACCAAATCTTAAGTTAGTTACGTTTGAGTGTTAGTTCAGGTTAATAGTTACATATTAAGGGTAAAATTGAATAAGATAGTTATGCCTGGATGTTATTTTTAGTCGGCTTGTGAAATTCAATGAAAAACGGGGGGGTCGAGCTGAAATTACACCTTGCTAAAAATGGACTAGGCTTGTGCTCTGCGACTCAAACATTGAAAACTTGAATGGTTGGGTGGTGCTGAGATTACCCCTTGGAATTAAAGATTAGATTAGGTTAAGTTAGGTTAGGTTTGGTTTGATTAGTGTAACGGCTCACGGCCTGACTGGGGTGAGGTTGGGTTTGAATGAGATTCGTTCAGTATTACACGACAATGTTTTATTCAGTCATACCTGGAAATACATGTCCCACTATCAGCTGTAAATACCAAACACACAAACAGTATCCATCATACCTCGTATTTATCTCATATCTAATAATAATATCAATCAAGTGATTAACTTCTCAAGTTGGCTGAATACAAATTGCTCAAACTCACTTGTGACGGATCTGTTGTTATGGCACGCTTAAGAACAGTAGTAGACGGTTTTGGGTGAGTTAACACCGTACACTAAACTCTGTAGCTGGGTCACTGACGCACAGTTGCTTGATATTTGTTAGAAGTCGTCTCCGGACACGAAACCAGACCACCTCATGTACTCACTGCATCTCACACACTGCCCTCCTATGCCTCGCCTGCTCACTGTCCTCACACACTATCATCCTATAGCTAAAACCCACATCTCATTCTCTTATCGAGTAGCTAATGAACTTGTCGCTGACGCTTCCAAATACAACCCTCATCTCTCTCTCCCCCTTCCCTTCTCTTCCTAGCCTTTGATCAAACTACACATGCCTAGAACATTCTCAGCACTTGACAGAAACTTCGTTCAGTTGGGCAATACGCAAGCGACGTAGCATGCACTAGGCTGCTCTGTTCAGCAACCTAGTGCACAGTATTGCAAAACCGTATTACCCGGTGTGTGTGTGTGCAAAAAGGCATAGAGGGAGGTGGATCACTTCGTAGCGCGGTTTGTTTTCAAATAAAAAATATGGCGAGGGCCACTAGTGATTACTAGTTCGTTCTGTAAGTCACTTTTTTTTTCAAATGATCATGTCGTAGATTAATGCAACTTATGTAGAAACATAACTATTTAACTACAAATGTTGGTACCCCCGAAAATATCACGATACGCCAATACAAAGAATGGAAGAATGAAATACCAGCAGTTATTTAACAAGTTATATTCAGTTTCGGCCGTCTTGTTTGTTTATATTTACCTGAGATCAGCTGATCAGTACACCCTCTGGCTGACCGTGCAGTACCTCGCTACCAGTACAGTATTGGCCAACTGAACCTGTAGCCGCGTCAACCTTTAATCTTATATTTCAATTAAACGAACTTTGTAATTATTATTTTTTTGACCGAGAACATAATTTCACTAATAATAAACTACTAAGGTATAGATATAGTTTGTCCACACTACAAAGGAAAAGTTTTATTACTGACCACTACTACAAGTTTCATTTCCTGTTATCGTTTATATAATACAGGGTGATGGAAAATGATGACCCGGATTTTAATAAGAAACCGTATTGGCTCTTACGATTACTCTTACGATGAGAAAGTTCCAATATTGACTATTTCAAGTTTCATCGCCTCACGTTTTATAATTAAATACATACCAAACTTTCATAACAGGTAATTAAATCCTTCATTAACAGTTTTAAACAGTATGTGTATATAAAACTCCTATTGTAGATACTTTTAAACCTTGCAGTGACAATAATTAAGATTGGAGTATTATTTTCATCTATTATGTTAACTCAAATACAACTTTCAACATTACTGTCAAATTTCTGTTGTTGCAGACGAGACAAAAAGATGGCGCCCGTGAACTTAACCTTTATATTACCTGTGAGTGTGTGTGTGTGTGTGTGTGTGTGTGTGTGTGTGTGTGTGTGTGTGTGTGTGTGTGTGTGTGTGTGTGTGTGTGTGTGTGTGTGTGTGTGTGTGTGTGTGTGTGTGTGTGTGTGTGTGTGTGTTACTTGCTTCACCTGCCATCTGAGTGAGCTAGCCACGTGTATTAGGTCTCAGTGAAGTTTTAAGGTGACGTACATACATACACATACATACACATACATACATACATTCATTCATTCATTCATTCATTCATACATACTGTACACACACAGGCGCCTTTCACCCCCAAGTAAATCTGGCTCTCTCCCTCTTTTTCAAACCTTCTTACACCCTCCCTCCACCCCTTCACCCCTCTCTCCTCCTCCCCTCTAATACACATTGTTTGTCATTGAGAACACACACACACACACACACACACACACACACGCACACAACTCTTTCTAATTTATTCATGTGGAAAATTATCACCATTCCCAAAATTGCCTCAAGTAAAACAAATGACCTCAAATGTCCCCAGAGACTCGACCTAATACATTACTTGGTTGTATTAGAGGAAATAAAAGTAATAAAGGTGTGAGTCTTTGAGGCTTTGTTGACTAATGGGGTTAAGTTAAAGGAGTTGTTGTTGTGTGTGTGTGTGTGTGTGTGTGTGTCTTTTTTGTCTGTTTCGATCTGTTTGTCCTTTATGTCTCTGTCTGTCTTATTATCCTTCTTGCCATTCACACAACAGTCAACAGCTCCTTTATTTTCCTTTTTATCTCTTCTTCTCTCTCTCTCTCTCTAATCAATCTCTCAGCTAGTCTTTCTTCCAATTTTCTACCTTTTCCGTCTGCTGCTTCTCCCTCTCTATCTCCTCCCCTTCTCTTCCCTTCTCTCCACTCTCCCTCCCATTTCTTCCCCTCTCTCTTTCTCCTTCCCTTCCTTCTTTTTTATTTCATCTTTGCTCTCCTTCTTCTCGTTCTCTCCCTGTGTTCTTTTCTTTCCTTGCCCCTCCCTCCCTTACGTCACCCTTCCTAGCTCCCAAAATACCCCGTCTCCCGGCCTGTGGGTGACCTGTGCCACTTTTTAATAATAATAATATTAATATTTTTCTTTTTCTTCTTGTAACTTTTCTCCATCTTGTTTTTTTTTTTTCGTTGCTTTGCTTTTTATCCTTTATTTTTATTTTTTCTTTCCTTCCATTTCAGGAGAGAGAGAGAGAGAGAGAGAGAGAGAGAGAGAGAGCAGTATTACTTAAAGGTTGAGAGAGAGAGGAGAGAGAGAGAGAGAGAGAGAGAGGAGAGATACTAAAGGAAGCAGAGAGGAGAGAGAGAGAGAGAGAGAGCAGTGGATAGTTAAAGGTTGAGAGAGAGAGAGAGAGAGAGAGAGAGAGAGAGAGAGAGAGAGAGAGAGAGAGCAGTATTAGTTAAAAGGTTGAGAGAGAGAGAGAGAGAGAGAGAGAGGAGTAGAGAGAGAGAGAG